CACCCTCGATCACCAAATTCTCCTCGCGAGGTTAAGAAAATATTTTAATTTCACAGAAACAGCTCTAAAATGGTTCTCCTCTTACTTGCTTGGGCGATCTCAGCTAGTTTCTATAGCGGATGCAACATCTCCGCCACGATGTTTAGAGTATGGCGTTCACTAGGGCTCAATACTCGGGCTGCTGCTGTTCACTCTTTATATGGCACCTCTCCAAGATGTTATACGTAGCCACGGTCTTGACTCCATGTTCTCGAACAACACCCAAATTTACATCATCATTGACGATCCTAAACAATCCGTTGACTCTGTCGGTGTTCTAAAGGGATGCATCAATGATGTTTTTGCGTGGAACACTAAGAATATGTTAAAGTGCAACCCTGGAAAAACTGAAATATTACATTTCACGTCGAGTTTCAGCAAGCAACCTACAGTTTACAAAACATTATCATTAGCTAACACCTCAGTAGAAGTGAAAACAAAAGCCAAGAATTTGGGTGTCATCATGGATAACGAAATGTGCAAGAAAGCCAGCTATGCCATAAGATCAATTGGTCGTATTCGAAAGTGAATTCCCTTATGATTTCCAGGCTCGACTATTGCAATAGTCTCTTATATGACATCCCAAAATACCAGAGAGATAAGTTACAAAGAATTCAGAATACCGCAGCTCGAATGATAACAGGAGCCCGCAGCTCTGACCACATTACACCTTTATGAAAGAGCCTGCCATGGCTACCTGTGGAAGCAGGGATTGATTTAAGGTTCTTCTTATCACATATAAGATATTAAATGGACAATCTGCTGGACATCTTGAACCTCTGATTAAGGATTATCATCCATCAAGAACTCTACGATCGTCATCGCGTTCGCTATTATGCACCCCAGCCATAAAATCCAAAACATATGGAGGAAGCGCGTTTTCCACTGCAGCACCTCAGTTATGGAACACTACCCCAGAATATATCAAAAATGCCTACAGTGTTACAACATTTAAAACAAAACTTAAACATTTCTATTCAGGAAATGTTTCAATTGATTGTCATGCTTAACATTTTAGGTTTTTTTTTAAGATTTACAATACTTGATTATTGATTTTCATGCCTTACATTTTAGGATTTTTAAGTTTTACAAGTTGGTTTTAAAGTTTTTACAAACATGATAACATTTTAGGATTTTTTTTTTTAAGTTTTACAATACTTGATGTATAATGTTACAATTGATTTTCATGCATAACGTTTTAGGATTTTTAAAGTTTTACAATACTTGATGTATAATGTCACAATAGGCTAGAAATGTAATGATCTTTAATCGGCTTTCATAATGTAAAGCGCATTGAGGATAGAAATGCGCTTAATAAGAATCTATATTATTATTATTATTATTATTATTATTATTAAAGACATTTTCAGCCAAAAGGAAGTGCCAGGTGAACCGCAGCAAACACGAACATTGTTTGAATAGCGGCGTACGAGAATACCTCCCCAGTTCGATTACATGACAAACATGACGAAAACATGACGCTAAAAGAGGTCGAGGAAAGAGAGACTATTAGCTCGCGTTCTGAGATTTGTTCGGTCTGGTCATGACTCAACCAGGCGAAATCGATGGCGTAACGAAGCAAACCACTCAAAGCTTCAATTCAGTGATTGATAGGAGAAGTCATGAGACGATGCGCAATCGGACTGTTCTAAAATGGTTGGCTTTGCCTCCCCGCGTAGTTTTGAGGTAATTCTCCCGACGCAGCCGTCGAAAAACGTTACAGAACAGTATAAAGAGAGAACACGAGAATGTAAGTCGGCGGGGGCGCCACGTAATATCACTCTTCGCCAGGCTCATTTTCAGCTCCCCCTCCTGATAATTATTGCAGAGTCCCTAAAGCCCTTGAATCTTTTACCTGCTAAAGATACTTCAAAGTCAATATAAAATCTTACTTCAAGGAACGTCACTGTATCCTCCGAAGACCCTTGGGCCTTTCTTTATGATGGAGATAATGTTTCTTTTCTTATCTTATCACGTAACTTTGCGATGGAATATAATTTTCTCCAAAGCGAAAGAAGCAATACTACTGATACTTTCATGTTAGTGGAAACAGGTATTGAACGCACTCTCCAACCTCGGATGGGCCACTTGGCTCGGATGCAGAATCTATCTTTTTACTTTAAGAATTAGGTCGGGCGCCTTATACGGGGCACCGTTTTAAAAAAATGTAGCTCCTTTGCGAGAAAAAAATCCTAAATATTGTCAGAATTTAACTCATTTGAACGGGCGAAACGTAGAGAGCTTAAATATAGTGTAAACGGCGTATCGAGGCGAATGTCTCTGGCAAATAATTCACCATTTAGGAAATAGTATTTCCTGCTCTCTATAATTAAAGCATTACCCTATTGTAAACTACAATGCGAGTACTATTGTTGGAATCATATTTCAGTTACGGGGGACACCTGTAGGAGTATTTTAAGGTGTCAGTGAGACACCCGTGGCACTAAAGCCCTTTTAAAGGTACTTAAAAATCATTATGCATTCAAAATATTTCCCTGATTTAGGGCTTTAGGGACTGTGCAATAATTATCAGTAGGGGGAGCTGAAAATGAGTCTGACATAGAGTGATATTACGTGGCGCCCCCCGCCGACTTACATTTGCATGTTCTCCCTTTATACTGTACTGTAACGTTTTTCGACGGCTACGTCTGGCGAATTGCCTAAAAACTACGCGGTGAGGCAAAACCAACCATTTCAGAATAGTCGGATTGCGCATCGTCTCTTGAATTCTCCTGTGAATCACTGGATTGAAGCTTTGAGTCATTTGCTTCATTACGCCATCGATTTTTCCTGATTGAGTCATGACCATAACGGACAAAACTCAGAACGCGAGCTAATAGTCTCTCTTTCCCTCCTCGACCTCTTTTAGCGTCATGTTTGTCATGTAATCGAACTGGTAATTATTATTCATTCAAAATATTTCTCCAATTTTGATTGGCTAAAAGCACACGCATAATTCACCATAACCAGTTACTGATGACCAAAAGTTGAAGAATTTTGTGTTTAACGAGGAAATGACGTCAAAAATGCAGCCCGCTACAGGTTAATGCACCGTTAACCGAGAAGACCTGGGGACGAGGTTGAGTCATGTTGGTTGTGAAAACAAAAATGGCCGACACTTCGCTCGTTTCAAGAGTAAGAACTACAGCTGGAACTAGGCGAAATAATAGGTAAAAACAGCAAAAACGGCAAGAAAACAACTCGGAGGGCGACATCTGCTATTTGGAGAATATTTGCGGAGCTGAACAAACATAAATCTACACTATCGAAGATTAACTTAACATCGATGGAGGTAAGCATGTTTAAGCTATCTTTTTAAACTAGGAATTATTTTGAATGAATAATAAAACAATTATTGAATTCGGCTTTCGTATCATATGAAGAATTATGGAGATGTCGGAGGGTGTTATCCGCCTCGGCCTACGGCCTACACGGATAACAACCTCCTCGATCTCCATAATTCTTCATAAGATACTCAGCCTCATTCATTAATTGTTAGATATCAAATCTTACCCCAAGGAATGTCAGTGTATCCTCCAAAGACATATTTGTCTTTTTGTACGATGCTCACAGTATTATTTTTACCGTCGCATCTATCATGGAAAGTCTTGGCTCCCCAACCATGTGAGGTAGCATTGTAGCAAAGAAGCCAGGAAGAATCCTCCCCAACCTCAGGAGCGCTAGCAAGAAAACGGTGAAGATACCGCAGATAATACTGATTTCCATGTAATATTGTCGAGTTTATTGAAAATTCTGAAAATGAAAACACATGGATCATACAAAAAGGTTATTTTGGATGAGTAAATATCACGGCCAGTGAATCTATTCTCTGCATACCACAGCAGTCTCATTTTTCTCATGCCCTGAAGGTAGATTAGATAGAAAGGTAGATAGGTGGAAAAGTGAATGAATGGATGGCTGCATGGGTGGATGACTAATCTTTCTTTAAAAACAAAAGCCTGCGTGCATACATATTAGAGTGATAATGAACAAAGAGAAAAGGGAAAAATAACATTTAAAAAGAAAACCTGTCAAACAAAAAAAAAAAAACCCATTAACTTTGTAGCAAACATGCTGGAATAGTAGCAAAGCCACCTGACAACTCCCAAATGAATGATAGCGTGAGGGTGAGTAATAGCACGGTTCAGTTAAGGAACGCTAAACAAAGGATTTACCTTACTGAGCAGATCGAACTGATTAGGTGTTCTCTTACCGGAACGCGAGATAAAACTGCATACATTTTTACGGGATAATCGTGGACCAGGCGGACGGAGGGAGGTAGTAAAGGGATTGACGAAAGTGTAGATTAATACCAAACCTTTTTAGGGTAGTCCAAAGACTATTGGACATCGCAGTAATAGTGTCTTTGACAGACTAATGACATTTTCTAAAGGAATTAAGTAGATTATTCTCTGATATGCGTCTCAACCATGCATCACCTCGAGCACTGCCAGTTTTGTATAATTATTCGTTTTTGTTTTGGGACAGAGTTACATTGTACATGCATCTGGATTTTGAATGATCTCGTGATTCAGCTTTGTTTGTACTAATTCTACAAATACAATCATTGCCCCCGTGTTAGTAATGTCGTGATCTGTGTCAATACTCAATTTATATGTTCTGATGTTGTGTCTTCCTTTATACCCGCCAAGAAGAGCTTCGGCATTTGTCAGTCCATAACCTAACCTGGCAGGCATATTGGCCGTATTATGAATCATAATATTCCTATCAAAAGTAAAATTGTGCAAGAGCTGTTTGTCGAAGTGTAACTGGTTTGTTGTGTGACTGAGAATGAGTTCAGAATTTTTCCACCCACTAAGCCACCTTCTAAGAAAAGAAAAAGCTGTCGGCCGGATCTCTCTTTTTCCAAGAAGTGCGATCATAAACGGATACTGTTTATCTCGGTCAACCATCTTTGTTATCTTATACTCCCACAGAAGTACAGAATAGGGGGTTAAAAGTTACTCCCTCTTGGTTTTCCGCGCTGTGCAAATATATAGAGATGAGCTCCGAGTCGTTATCCACAATACTTGACGACTGAGATTTAGATTTGAATAAGTCGGTAAATAATATTTGAATAAATAAATGAAATTGTTATAAAGAGAGCGAGTAACAATTTCCTATAATTTACTACAATTTATAAAAGTACATTGCTGAACGTTAACCCTAATTGTACTGAACCAGAAGTCTCAAAACTGACTAACGGAAAGCGAGACAGGAAATTCAAGAACCAACCTGAACAG